AGTTACCAATACAACAAAATGAAAATGTAAAGAGTATAACTCTAAAGGAAACCTTTTGGGGAAAAAAATGAATATATGCTTCTACAGGAAGTGAGCTATGATGTGGAGTATCATATGAAAAGTTTGCATACGAAATGTATTGAGTGAACCGAAGAGTTTTAAATTCGTTAGAAAATTGCCGGCCGCATAATAATATTTGTAAACACTATCTAAATCATCCTTTTTTTGTTTGTTTGTGGTTTTTTAATTGTTTTGGTCATCATCTTCATCTTTATGTAAGTTCGCAAATTATCATTGATAAATATCGTCACCCGATTTGTCTAATTTCCTTAATTTTTGTCACCAACGACAAAAGAGAAAAATTACCTGTACGCGTTTTCCTGTCAAAAAGATGTTGAAAATCTATTAAAAAAAAGTTAAGTAATAATAGTAGCTGGATTGCTTAATTTATTATCAGAAAAGATTTGAATTAATTTTTCTTTAACTGATTTTTGGTCGGATCTCTCTATATTGCATATTATAATATAATTAATATTTATTATAAAACTATCATACCCTACTGTGAGAAAGATCTGGGAAGTCTCCATGCAATTGGGCGAATAACTTAACGAAGCAGATCCTCACATTCAAAGAACTCGCCAAATCATTCGAAAATCAGCCAAGTTCATGGGTGATTGGATCCACCCAGAAGCAAAATCTGGCAAATCTCTGTACCCGAAAGCTAAAGATCTCTGATTTCAATACCCATTAGCGAAAAGCTCCCAACTTTTCTCATTCTTTCCCTGATTGGCATGGAATTGATCTATTCTTCTTCTTCGTCTGCTTCTTTGATCGTTAGAAATTCAGCTCTGTGTTTAACCCTAGTTTCCATTCTCGTCTTCTTCTTCCTCACGACACCTATTCCCAGTTTCCCGGATTACCCCTCGCGCTCCTCTGTAACCCCCAATCGGTCCCTCCTCGACGATTCCACTGTCACTACTTCTGCAAATCAATCGAGCCCTAATCCTCAGTCTTCTTGTTCCTCTGGTAACCCCTACGAAAATGGCGCCATCGACTACTTCTCCCTCCATTTCTGCGTCTTCAACCAGAACCCATTCATCACGATCCCTGTTTTGTCTCTTCTCATTCTCCTTCACTTCTACATCCTCATCAAAACCGCTCAGACCCACTTCTCCACCGTCACGACCAGGCTCGCCGATCTCCTGAATCTGTCTCCGAGCATGGCGGCTGTGACCCTTTTGGCCCTCGGCAATGGCGCTCCCGATGTCTTCTCCTCCGTCGCCGCACTTCGCGGCGGTCAGTATCGAACAGGCTTCGGAGCCATCCTCTCCGCCGGAACTTTCGTCTCGGCGTTCGTCGTCGGCTTCGTCGCGATCTACGCGGCGCCATTTCCGGTAGACGCCGCGTCATTTGTCAGAGACGTGTTGTTCTACTTGATTGCCGCGTCGTTCTTGTTCTATGTTTACCTGAGTGGCGAAATATTCGTGTGGCAAGCAATTGGGTTTGTAGGGTTTTACGTGTTCTTCGTTGGATTCGTGTTCTGGATGGATTTCGGTATGAATGTTGAGAAAGTGAAAAGAAAAGGGGCTGGAGATAGTGAGGAAGAGAAGGAGTTGCTGAATGTAAAGGATTGTGAAGTTGGATATCTTGAGGAGAGTCCTGAAATGGAGAAAGAACAGCGAGGTTTAGGCATTTGTAGCCTTTGCGAAATGGTAAAAATCCTTTAGCTTCTAGCTTTTGATCGCTACTACATTGCTTTATGTCGATGAGTTTTGCAAGTTATTGTTGATCATAATGCTGAGAAGTGATAGCCTAGATTTCTGCTGGATTTGTATGTTGACCTTCATACTTGGTATTGGTTCTTCAATCTTGATTCTTGGCCGTGTTTCCTTTGGGAGTTTTCCTGTTTGTTCCTGTCGGTTAAATGGCTACATATTGAAAGCTTACTTCTACTCAGTTCTGATTGTTGGATTTGAATCAGAGCATGGTCAACGTTAATCTGCTTTTTGCTCGTGTTTTCTTCTACGGATTTCTCGATTTTGATAACTTTCATGTCTTGTTGTTTATGATATGATTGATTTTATCAAGTCGAAGCCTTGCCTCGGTTTAATCATGAGACTCAATCTTGGTGGTCTTGGTGAATATGTTGGTAATGCTATAAAGAGAAAGTCTCTGTTTACTTGGCTTTTATTTTTGTTTGTTGGATTTGGCTACAAATATGTTAAAAATCAGTTTAGTGGTTGCCTGCATTCTTCATTGTCAGCTATATATTTGTGGTTTCGTTCTGTTGTTAAATAAAGAAGAAATCTGGCTTTATTCCCGATTTGTTCACTCATGATGGTGGCATTTTGTTTTTTCAACCTTCTAACTTAATCTTATACTGATCCATCTTTGAGTATTGCTTGTCATATATATATATACGGATTTAGTTGCATGATCGGTAACTAGAGCCAGTCTTCTAATGTTGATGAATCCGAAACAACAGATGACTTTTTTTTTGGTTGAACAACAACAGATGACTTCTGTTGCTTGTCCTGGTATTTCATGCAATACTGGATCTTTTGTCTGACAAGTTTCTGTTTTTTCGGGTGATTGCAGATCTCAAAGATATGGGAAACTCCTGTCTTGATTCTTCTGAAGCTTACAATCCCACAAACTTCTCCTTCTGAATGGTCTCGGTTTTACCGATCTGCCAACATTATCTTTTGCCCTCTGACCCTTATATATGCTTGTAACTCTTTCATACCGCTGAATCACCCGATATCCTTCCTCATCCCAAATACCCATCTCCCACTATGGCTCGTAATCCTCTTCATGACCTCTTCCCTCGCTTTCCTTCACTTCACACTCGAAAAACACCCTCCCAAAACCGAGCAAATGCCCGTCATCATTATCGCCTTCATAATGAGCGTTTTCTGGATATCAACAATAGCCGGAGAGCTTCTAAACTGCTTGGCTGCACTTGGAGCTCTCCTTAAACTTCCGCCAGCTCTCCTTGGGCTAACCGTTCTTGCTTGGGGAAACTCGGTAGGGGACCTTGTTGCTGATGTGGCAGTTGCCAAGGCAGGTCGTCCAGCCATGGCTATGGCCGGTTGCTTTGCTGGGCCTATGTTTAATATGCTGGTTGGACTTGGAACAGCATTGGTGATGCAAACAGCAAACGTGTATCCAAATGCGTATGAGCTTCAGTTCCACTCTGGTATTGTGACGGCTTTTGTGTTCTTGCTACTCAGTTTGATGGGATCTCTGTTGGTTATAACTTGGTCTAGATTCCGAGTTCCGAGATTCTGGGGATTCTGTCTTGTCGGCCTCTATGTTCTTTTCACTTTGGTTAGTATGATCATTGCTGGATTTTCAACCTGATGATGATGATCCGTGCAAGGAGTTTTGTGGATTGAAGGAAAAGCTGGTTAAGGTGAGAGAGTATGTCCATAACCATCCGGTTAGCACGAGAATTTCGGTTAATTCAAGAACCCGGAACTTTTGGTCAATCAAGAGTTTCAAGAACCATTTTCGAGGAATCGATGGTCAGCACGAGAGTTTCGGGAAACCAACAGCTCAACTCAAGAATTTCCAATAACCGAAACTGGGGAATTCAAGAACCGGTGTTGAGGCATGTGCCGGTTATGTCAAGAACTTCAGAAATTTTCGACTAGATCATGGATGTGAAGAACCGGTTATGTGGGAGGGCCAGCCAGTTAACCGAGGCTGGTACGTGTAGAGAACCGGGGAATCGGTATGGTTTGAGAAATGTGGAGTGGAGTGGAGTGAGGCGTGAGACTGATAATTTCTCAATTAAAATGCTGCATTCATATATCTTTTTACATTCATTATTGCTGATTTTTAATCCATTGGAAGTCATTTGAATCAAATATACATATATGTGACTAATATAATTTCTTAATATATATATATATATATGTGGATTTATCTTGTGGACTGTAAATATAAAAATTTTATTTATATTTGTATGGATATATGGGTGTGTTGTGTAGATGTTGTAATATTATGTTGGAGTCACTAACCGAATCAAAATCACAAGGATTATGTTTGAGTCCTAAATTACATAAACTATAGAAAATATTATAATTTATAAATATCTTAATGTTTTAGATATCTATCTACTTCCTCAGGTGACAAAGTTTCTCCGTTTTCACTGGGCCACGTGTCTAGGTACTCAGTAGGGCGCAAGCACGTGATTACTTCCTTTTTCGCTCTTCTACTTTCTTCGAGAGTTTCACTTCTCAGCCTCGCCGGCGACTCGTACACGGCGGCTCCGATGAGGTACGATTATGGGTTTTGTTCAAGAACGCCTCTTTTTGCGTTGGGCATGCACGTATATGCGTGTGTATGCGTGTATATGTATGTATATCTGTATATTGGTGTGTATTGGTAGTCTCTCTATGTTCTATTGAATGATGAATCTATTAGGGTTTTAGCCATTTTCACTGAATGAGCTTTGAAAACCTGAAAAGTCAGTCTAATTGAGCTTCGAATTCTGTGGCCAAACTTCATGTCCTGGAAGAACCTTGTTTCCATACTTCAGAGGTCCATTTACTTTGCTTTCTCTGCTTTCTTGTCCGAAAATTTTTGAATGAGATCCGAGGTTTGGGATGTTTTGGGGAATGTGGTGGTAGACTATATACTTCTTTATACGAAGACCCTTGTACACAGAGTTTGTGTACCGTGAAGGGATTTCTGAAATGTAGCTATATGCCTGTAGATTCGGTTGTGTATATACCGAAAAGTGGAGTGAAAGTAGGTTAGGAGGTATGTTTTCTAGATTCAATCTGGTCCGAAAGACGGATAATTACACTAAACTCACGTCGTGTATGACGGTTTTCTACATGGCTCGTACAGAGAGGCTGTCAGATACCTCATCATATGGAAGGCTTGTAATGTCTGGTTATCGTTTTCAGCGTTAGTTTTATCGAAAACCCTTTGCTCTATCCACTAAGTGTCGAATATCTCTTTTCCTGTTGAATGTTACGGTCTCGTTGTTTCGAAACTTCGGTAGTAGCCAAACGCGTTCGAGATTTAGCTCTGTTATTGTTGAATCAGTTGATCACTATTGTTCTCTTGTCGAATCGTACAATCCCATCATGCTAAAGCCACACTAAGAAGCCAATACAGGCTTAGGATTTAGCTCTCTTTTTGAATCTAACAATTGTCATTGTAAGAGAACTTGGCAATCACCATTGTTCTAATGCCATGGTTATAGCCAATATATGTAGAAGATTTAGCTCTTTCATTGGATCTAAGGGTTGCCATTGTTTTAAAGCCTCAGTAACAGAAATTATGGGCAGGGATTTAGCTCTTGTATCGGTATTTGAACTGAATTATCGTTGTTGTTTTATAGCCTTGGTAATAACCTTTACGAGTTCAAGATTTAGCTATCTTTTCTACTAATCTATCTAGTTCCAATTTTTGAAGTTGGATTCCTTTTCTGCGTATTTCAGGCCTTCAAGTTGTCATAACATCGGAAACGCTAATACAAATCTTCCTGACAACACGGGGAACCAAACGATTCTTAATGTGGTTCCATTGAACAGCATCCCCTACATCGGTCCATCTACCGGGCAAGCTTCCATGTCGGGTCACAGGGCAAATGACAATGTGGAAAAGAGAGGGCCAGCCATGATTTTTCTGCCATGTGAATCAGCTCCAGAGTTTACTGACCTTGCTAATCAAACCAAAACCGGAGTTGCCCTCACAGGGAGTGCAGCTATGGGGAAGATTGGACCGACCATCGGTTTGGTGGATATTGCTGAGAATGAGGACTCGTTCTATTTTCGCGTATCTCTGCCTGGTGTATCAGGAGATGAAAGTAAGACTGATCCCTTTCAAGTTTCTGTGAAGTTTCCTTTACTGCACAAAGTTATCGTTTCTCTATTTCGTTGAACGTTTTACTGTGCCCAAACCTTAAGGAAAACAGAGAAAAGGTCCAGACTTTGCCAAAATCTAGTTAGGTAAAATGGGTTATGGGTAGAAAGATCGAGCCTTTGGTAAATCTGGGTTTTGAAAAGCGTAGGTAAGATTTTATTGCACCCCGTTGAAGGAAACATGCAAGATCTGTCAAAAAGTTTGAAACTTTCGTTCGACTGTTTACGCGTTGTTACTGTTCTTTAACCAAATCTTCTGCAATACCCTGTTGTGATGTTGAATCTAACGTGATGTTCAACGTATATACAGAGGAATTCAGCTGCGAGGTTGATCCGGACGGGAAGATTCTGATAAAGGGAGTGACAACAACGGGCGAAAAAACTGTCTGCAAACACTCTCAGGTCTTCAGGATGCTAACCCAGAACTTATGCCCGCCTGGACATTTCACCATCTCCTTCCAGCTTCCGGGTCCCGTGGATAACGACGAATTCGTCGGCCAGTTCGGATCAGACGGTGTTCTCGTTGGTACTGTCAAGAAGATATGAACATTTGTGAACTCTTGTTGAGCTGCAAAACCCAGAAGATCAAACCCTTTTCTTTATGTTGAGGTTAGTAGTGTAGTTTTGGATGCAAGCTAAACAGCTTCAAATGACGTAACAAAGTACGTAAAAGATTGTTTATCTGTTACGATTGAAAAACAAAAAATATTAAAATTTAATTTACCATTCATAATAATTTTGAACTTTAAAATTATTTATATACCAAAATTCAAAAATCAGATCTCGATAAATTTTAATATCCAAGATAAGATAGTATAACCGATAAAAGATAGATCAAAATTCATTTTTAAACCAATATTCGAGTCTTTATTTGAAAAAATCCATCCATATGGGTTTATCTATTTTTGTGAAAATTTTAATTGGATCGAAAATATGGTAAATTTTTCGTATTATAAAAAAAATATTTTTTTAATTTTATTTTTGAATAAAAGGTACTTCAGAAAAATGTGAGGGTACCAATTATTAAATTATATCATCGTTCTGTAAACAGAACGATGAAGCAAAACCTGATTGCTACGTCACTGAAAAACTTATGGATAACCTTAGAGGAGATGTCTGAACCGTGGGGTTGAGTGTAGCACGATGAAAACTTTGGGGTGAATTATGTAATTTTATGCTTTATAATGTGGCCAAGAGCGTTTGGAGATTTACTCATGCTGCGGGGGTCCAAAAGTGCACACAGGCTTCTTCTTCTTGACCACACATTCGGTAGCTGACAATTCAAACCCAAACCCACTCGGCCGATCGGTTCGACCGATTCAATTTACAAAACCTTAACCGAAAACCATCCCGGTTTAGGTATATTTTTTAACATTTGAAAACATTGACGGTCCAATTTTAATCTTTTTTTTTATCTATATTATAGAAGTATGATTATGGGTTATCAACGGATACAACACTAAAAGGTAGTTTTTGAAAATGATTTGAAGTAAACAAAAATTTGGCACTGGTTTTTGGTTCAAGTCGGGTTTGTCCAACAAATGAAGTCTTGTGACAAAATGTTGAGTAAGAACACTATCAAACCAGAACCCTTAACCGGTTTGCACGGTCCGGTTTAGAAGACATTGTGGATGGAACCATTTATTGTTCAAAGGGATTGATAAAGCTGAGATAGCCACAAGAGAAAATGAGAAAAAGTTTGGTCACTTTAACCTTTTTAATTTATGATTTAATAGTGACATAAATAAATATGGACCCCAAAACACAACAAACCCTCTTTATGAGATAGAGACTTTCCCCCAGTAGAAAACTACAACTCAATTTGTCAATTTATAAGAAATCCGTCATGATTTGTAATAAAAGTCAAAGATATGTAAATATTTATACATATGTTTCAAGTATTGATATATCAAATTATATACATATTCAAAATGGTATATCCAATTATATAGGTACAATAATCTATTAGGTCTGAACAAAATTATGTTATAGTTTTCATGGAAAGTAAATATCATAAGTTGTATATACTAATCTATACATTTTGAATATAAATATTATCAGTAACTATTACATTTATAATTTTAAATATGTACAATTGGTTCAACTTTTCTTGATTAATAACTTAAATATATAATTTAAAGTTTTGTCATTCATGTATATATAATAGAAAAATATCCAACTTATTGGATGTAGTCAATAAAAAATCAGTTTTCATAGCTTGAAAATATAAATGATTGAAAATTAGCTAAAACGCATACTTTTAAATATTTTCTATTTTTGTTCACTTCCAATATTTCGTATTTTTCCAGTTAAAAAGATTAGTTTACATATTTTTTATAAAAAAAAATAAAATTACATATTTTTGTTACTAGTTTATCTATTTTTATTCTCTTAAATGATGTAAAATATTGTTAAGTAGATTTGGATGTTTGATAGTATTTTGACAGATATGCTCTAAATTATATACAAATAAAAAATAATAATATATTTTTTTTGTAGATGTACCAATACCATTTGTAATTGAATGCGGGTCCATGGCCAACCATATTATTTATACACATCACCACCTTTACTCAAATCATTCCACAACGAAGCAGTTCTTCCATTGTTGTGCAAAAGCTTTTTTGTGAAGGAGACATGAGTTGCAGAGTTGCATACTCGGTTCGTGAACCGGTTTTCTTTCCCGTGAGGAGAAGTTTTAAAGACAGAAAACCGGTTAACGGTCCGGTTATGTCTAAAAAACCGAACCGGTTACAAGTCGTACCGGAGAGTTCCCCTTTCGTAGCAGAGTCTGTGGGAGAAAGAGACAATAACTGGTAAACTTGTGATGTTCAGTTTGTCTGAAACTTAGTTAGATCTCAAAGCATGAATATTATCTGATATGATTGTGAGAATAATGACAATATAACTTAGAATTTTTTGTTGCAGGATTGTTAGAACAAAGAGAGCAAGTGACCTAATCGTTAGACTTGGAGATTCAATCTTCAACTTGGATAAGGTATGTTTTAAGATATATATATATATATATATGTATATGTATATGTATATATTATATATATACCAATACTTACATCCATTCACAATAACAAAATCTTGAACATACCGTGAATCTTGATCGAATTTCCAAACACACCGGACGTACGATTTATCAAACTCTCATAAGAAATCGCAATCCGGGTTAGGGTTTTCTGGGATTTACAAAAGATTCTTTCTTATGTTTTGTTGAATTCTGCAAAACGAGTTTGCCATTTTTTCGATACTACGACAAGGATCTGAAGCTGGGTTTGGTTTCTTGGCTAAATCTGCAGCTAACTATGATCTCAAAATCTGGATTCTTGAACAGACAAGTTTCACAGATGACCCCTGATGTTGTTCATATAGACAACTTCCCAGGTGGGCCTGAAACTTTCGGAATAATCGTGAAGTTCTGCTACGGTTCGAAGATCGAAAACACGATTTCTCCAAAGAACATCGTACAGATGTACTGTGCAGCTCGGTTTCTAGAGATGACGGAGGATCTTGGAACAGGAAATCTTGTCAGAAAGGCAGAAGATTTCCTGTCTCTTCTGATGTTTTCTTCCACTTGGAAAGACTTGTTTCTTGTCCTCAGAAGCTGCGAATCGGTTTCTCCTTGGGCCGAGACGTTTGGAGTGGCGAAACGATGCGCAGAAGCAATTGCTTGGAATGTAAGTCAATATCCTATGCTGATTTATTATGTACTGCAAAAGAGATATATATATATATATATATATATATATATATAATTACCATGCGAATGTAACTTATAAAGCTCTTGATAATTTCAATTTACCCATCTCGTTCTTGTCTGAAGGCTTATGTGAATCCAAAAGAGTGTGTTCAAGAGAAACTTGAAATGGAAACCGAAGATTGGTGGTTTGAAGATGTATCATGCTTGAGAATTGATCATTTCAGTGAAGTGATTGGATTTCTCAAGAAGAAGGGGATGAGGTCGGAGATCATCATATCATGTATCGCGCGGTGGACTTCTCGATGGTTCTCGAGGGTGATCCCGAGGAGCAACAATGGCGGCCACGGAGAGAAACCGTCTAACCAAAGGAATACGGTCGAAACCCTAATTAGTTTACTTCCACCACAAGAAACCTCTGCCTCCTGCAATTTTTTGCTTCACCTGCTGAAACTAGCCCTAGCGATCAGAATCAGAACCGAGCTAGTGGAAGAACTCGAGATCCGGGTTGCTTCTGTATTGGACAAGTCCCTGGTTTCGGATCTCATGGTGAAAAATCTGAAAGAGAATGGGAGTGTTTACGATGCTGCGATCATTGCTAGGGTTTTGAAGCGTTTCTTTACTTGCAAGACAAGAAATCTCCCCGGTTCTGAAAGCCTTGCTGTCGGGAGATTAGTGGATGAGTACTTATGCCGGATCGCGAGAGATGAGAAGCTGGAAGTGATGGAGTTTCGGATGATCCTCGAAACATTGCCTGAAAACGCAAGATCTTGCCATAATAGTCTATACCGAGCCATCGATATGTATCTCAAGGTAAAAAAAAAACACGTAAAAACAGTAAGATATATTTTGATTAAATATGTTTTCAGAATTGAGTTTGGACCGATACGATGGTTTATCCCGGTTTCATAGTTGGTTTTGAATTGATTTTTCGAAATCCTTTGGTACAGACGCATCCGGAAATAACCGAAGAAGAAAAGCTCAGCATCATCAAAGCTATGGAGTACAATAAACTGTCAAGAGAGGCGAGGCAACATGTGATGAAGAATGATAGACTTCCGGTAGAGATCAATGCTCGATTCTTACTTGTCGAGCAAGTAACTGCGACGAAATCGATCACAGCCGTCGGATCGGATTGCCAGAGGACGAAGAGTCAAGCAGCGGCAAAGGTGGGAAAGTTTATTGAGAGATCGGGTTCGTGGATGAAGAAATTGAAGAGTGACTACGAGATAAAGATGATGAAGAAAGAGGTGGAGAACATGAAGGTTCAACTTGAAAGTTTAGAAATGTGTAAGGTGAAAATTCAAAGACATGTGAAAAGATGTGTTCTTTTGGTAAATTAATAAAAGTTAGCTTTTAGTCTTTTGTAAAGCAACTCTTGGAATGGGATTAGTAGAGGATGAAGGATCAACCAATTATAAAAGAATTCACAAAAAAAAAACAATTACATATTTATAGATAGGCTGAACAATTTTTTGTTATTAATCGAATAATTGAATTGAATCTAATAAAATAAAATTACATGAATACATAAAATCAAACGGTTATATTTTTTCTAAATTCAAAAAAACTAAAATTGCAAAAAAAAATAGATAATTTTTTTTAAAAAATATATCTAAATCAAATCGAACCAAAATATATATAAAACTCTAATAGTTATAATTTTTCTATAACCGAATGTAACCGAACCATTGTGAAACAGAATCCGAAAAAGCATCCTATTTATAGATAAATTATTAAAATGATTTATATTAGTTACAGCTACTTTCAGCCGTGTAAAAAACAGGGGTGGTTAATATGTATCACAGAAAAAATATTTCGCAAACTATTAAAAATCAGAATTTGCACAATTGTTTTAATAATTCAATTTAGCTTACTGTTTTTATATTATAATTCATACGCATACAAATGATATTATCTATTATTTAATCGTAACATTATTGGCAACAAAAAAAAAAAAGAGAAAAATCTTAATGGATAAAAAAAAAATGTCACTTGTATATGTATGTATCCTCGGACACACACTTGTCATCGCCCACTGTGTTAATCATCTTCTCCATCTTACAGAAGAAGAAGAACGTCTGGAGCTGCAACAATGGCGACGGACAACGATTTTGGTGCTTTCATGGAGAAATTCATAATTCCTCCAACGCCTTCTTCATCTTCGCCTCTTCAAGGCCTCACTTTCGCCATCAAAGACATGTAATTCTCATACGTAGACACTCACAGACGCATGTACGCATGGATTTATGTGTTTATGTATTATCTCGAGTATCATTGTTTATGCTCTGAATCGTTTTTTTTTTATGGGCAAAGATAAAAATTCTGAAATTATTTATCTTTTTGCCTTGCAAATTCTCGACCTTTTTTCTTGAGATTGTGCCCTTGTCTCGATTCGAACTTCTCACGATACAACTAGATACGACGGATGAAAAGGATTGTTTGGTTACTGAGAAAGTGGGGGAAAATCTACGACAAAATCCCGGGAGCCAGAGCATTCAATTAGGGTTTTATGTACGATAGAAATGTAATGGTGAAGCGGTTGTTTGGTCAGAAAGAAAGTGATTCTCAGAAAATTTGTTTACTCCGCAACTGGGTTTCCAAATCTAAAGTACTGTTTGGCAGCTAGGAAAGTGAAAGAAAATCCCTGAAAACATGGTCTCAAATCCTTAAACCGAAGCAAAGAACTGCATATCTTCGGTTTCTCCTTCTTCCTCGTTCATTTTGATTGATTTAAACGCATAATTTTGTCGGATTTTTATCCAGATTCGATGTGGAAGGACATGTGACCGGTTTTGGTAACCCGGATTGGTTACGGACTCATTCCGCCGCCACTTCCACAGCTCCGGTGGTTTCAGCTCTCTTAGCCGCCGGTGCCACCTCTGTCGGTTCAACCGTTATGGACGAAATGGCTTACAGGTTTTCGCATTTCGACTCCTAAACCGACCTTTTAACGTTTCAGCATCTCGGTTTAGTTATAACCGATCGATTTGTTTCACGATGATTAATAACTCTCAAACCATGTTATATGCATATGATTATTGTTGTCCTTTTTTGGCAGTATAAACGGCGAAAACGCGCACTACGGAACGCCAAGAAACCCGATTGCATTGGATAGAGTTCCCGGTGGATCTTCGAGCGGATCTGCCGTCGCAGTAGCCGCTGGTCTCGCGGATTTTTCCGTCGGTTAGTTAGAAAACGAGCTTGCCTTATTGTTATTATATGTAGTAGAAGAAGAAAAATCAATGGAAACACTGGGAATTGCGAAAGGCAGATGAAATTTGCGGATTTTTCGATACTTCGTGTTTCGGAAGTAAAAAATGTCTTTTCGTGGGGAAAAATAACATGGGATTTGTGTTATAGGAACTGACACCGGGGGAAGTGTAAGAGTTCCTGCGTCATACTGCGGAGTTTTCGGGATCCGACCATCGCACGGAATTGTTACAACAACCGGAGTTGTTCCAATGGCTCAGAGCTTCGATACCGTGGGTAAGTAAACTTAGCGAAAACTCGGTAGAACAAGTGGACCGAAATAGAAGAATTATTGGTAATGTTAAAACTTTCAGAACTACAACTGGATCGAATCTTGGATATCCGACTCGTTTTCCTATTCTTCGGGTTTTTAAAGTTTTTTTCTTGACGTCAAATTCTCGTATGTAGGATGGTTTGCTCGGGAACCCGCGATTTTGAGACGTGTTGGCTGCGTTCTTCTGCAGTTACCCGATTTGAACGATATGAAACCGAGTAAAATGATAATCGCCGATGATTGTTTCAAGCTTTCCAGTGTTCCACCTGATTGGATGATTCGCTCTATAGTTCGAGCGGCAGAAAAATTGTTCGGAGGTAAGCGTTTAAACTACTTTAAACTTTGTGTATTGTCCGATGTGATGTAAGATCATAATTTTGAGGAAAATCGCGTTTGTTTCGATCTTCTATGTCTCGGGTTCCACGAAAAGATCATTAAGCCGTTTTTTCCCTGCATTTTTCTGCTTTTCGCTTTTCACAATGCTTAAGAAATGTTTTTTTTTTCGAGTAACATTTTTTTCGTGAAGGGGAAATCGTAAAGAACGTGAATCTTGGAGACTACATTGAAGAGAAAGTTCCGAGTTTGAAGCACTTCATGACGGGAGATGTCGTTACGTCCCGAGAGTTTAACATACCATTGCTCGAGGCCCTCTCAAGCTCGATGAGATTGCTTCAAAGGTAAACATAAATCCTTCTTTTTCATTTCATAAAACCGATTAGAATCTAAACTTGAAATATCTACACAAGATGCAGTCTAAAATGTTTCGAAAATAGGAAATAATTGTAGGATTTCAGCTGAATCTAGGTTCTTGATTTCGGGTTTAACGATTTCGACCATACCAATTATCCATACTGATTCTAGGTTCGAATTCAAGAAAAACCATGGCGAATGGATCGAATCCACCAAGCCGGTGTTTGGTCCCGGAATATCGGAACGGGTCGAACAAGCGATGCAGACAACCTTTGAGAAGATCGACGCTTGCCGATCAGCGACGGTAGAACTCCGGTCAGCTCTTTCAGATTTGCTCGGGGTAATTACTTCTTCCTATCTTTCTCGAACCTCCGAAAGATTGATGCTTACATAAACACGGTTTTTTTTGTCAGGACGACGGTGTTCTGATCATTCCGACGATGCCAGGCCCTCCGCCGAAACTGCAGACTGATGCATCACAGCTCGAGATTTTCCGCGGCAGAGCCTTCGGGTTGCTTTCCGTCGCCGGAGTTTCCGGTTTCTGCCAGGTAATAACTTGTCATGGTTCATCATGGAGTTAAAAATTTTGAAAATAGTTTGCGACATTCTCCACAAAAGTAGAGTAACCGAAAATAACCGAACCAAAATTGTCGGAACCAAGTTGAACATTAATCGAATATGAAAAAATGAACCGAGACCAAACCGAATTGGAATTTTTGAGTTACGGGTTTAAGGAAATATTGAATTGTCTTATTGTTACCCGATTTATTAGATTCGGTCGGTTAGAATACCTAAACGGTTTACTGATTTTCGGTTTTGTGACAGGTGAGCATACCATTAGGGCTACACGAAAACCTTCCGGTTTCGGTCTCAATGGTTGCAAAACATGGTTCGGATGGGTTACTTCTAAATCTGGTTGAAGCTCTTTGGAAAGATATTGGACCACAGGTGTGTTTGTGAACCGAGGCTCTCGGACCAGAAATTTGTAAACCGGAATAGGTTCACCGGTTCGGTCGAATTCAATGTATTGGCAATGGCGAGTGCATCCATCCAATTCGATGTATTTAGCCGAGTCCAAGAGGGTCCCGATTTTGGTCCTTGCCAGCTAATTACGCACATACTCGTGAGATCCCGTGGCTGCGGAATTGTACTTTTTTTTTTATAATTAAAAGATTCATTGAACGCCTACTTAATTTACTCTCATACAACTAGGGCTGGGTGTTTCGGTTCGGTTCTTCGGAACCGGACCGAACCGAACCGTTAAAACGGTATTTTTTCCGATCTGAAACCGTTGTTATTTCCCGAACGGTACCATTTTTAGAGAACCGAATTTTTCCGGAACCGAACCGAACCGAACCGAATTTTAAAAATCCCGAAAAACCGAATATTTTTAAAGAAAATCTATCATTTTTTTAATAAAACCCAGAACCGAACCAATACCGAAACCGAACCGAACCGAATATAATAAAAAACCCGATTGGTACCTATTTTTGTAAAACCGAAAGAACCGAACCGATCTATTCCTTCCCGAACCCGAACCATTTCCCGAAATGTCCACCCCTACATACAACTAATTAATTACGTCCCTCACGAATTTAAAAATATCTAAAAAATATTAAAATAAAATAAAATATTGTTAACCAATAGATATGTGAATAAAAAAATTCCAGGGAAATATAGAAACTTTACAATATATTCTAAAAAATTATATAAATTTTTAGTCCGATAAATAAATATACCAAATATTAAAATATATCAAAATAATATATCAATTTTTAAAATTGAAAGTGATTTTTTACAATATTTAAAATATTAATATATATATATATATGTATTTATTTGTTAAATTAAAATTTTGTTTATTGTTTAATATATTTTGCAAGAGTTTTGTATTTTCGCGGGGTTTTCCTAAAAATAATCTAAAAGAAGCCGAAATACTTATTATTATTCATTTTCCATTAAATTCACTTTCTTTAAGTCAATGAAATTCACCGGTCGGTCCATCTTGACTAGAAGATTTGATTCTTCAAACGGAGGACCATTATTTTACGTATTTGACAAAATAGTATAATTATTTTAATTACACAACACACTAACAATGTTTACATTAAAAAACGCACTATATTATTTTTCTGAGGAAAATAAATGGGGGCCAGGCTATGCTAACCTGCGCACCCTGCAATATAGAAAAGAAAGAGAGAAGGGCGACGGCGACGAGCCGAACCGCCGACAGCCATCGGAGGTGAGATTTTCGACGGAATCTTCATGTTCGCATCGAATCTCAACAATAATATGTTTGCCGGTCAAATGAGCGGCCTGGATTTGTTCTTTCCCGTTCCGACCGCCGCCGTAGCCGCCACGGCAACGTCTTCCGGCGGTGGTTTCGCCTCCGGAGATACGGGGAGGAACGAAATAGATGATGATTGGGGAGACTTCGTCGATTCTTCTGTTGCTGTTTCCCGCGCGGGATCTCTCCCGCCCGATCCAAACGGTTTCCTCGCGGATCGCAACGATACGGACTCGACGGTGGTGGCTCAGCTTGAGTCGGCGCCGAGTCGGATCGAGTCGAGTCAGGCTCAGTGGGTGAAGCCTCAGGGTCCGGTGCCACTGTCGGTGTTTGGAGAAGCGGAGGAGGAAGGAGAAAGGGATGGATCAGGTGTGTCGGCTCCAGCGTTAAGATTTTCTTTCGACTCGACTTCTAGTAAACACAATAATGGCAATGGATCTGTGAAAAAAGTAATGTATACGAATCCGAGTGTTGGAATCAATGATTTGATTGCAAATTTGTATATGGATAATGACCAGAACAAGCCGGAAAACGGGCTGAATTTTGACACAAATAGTTCGGCTCATTTTGACACGAATACGAAGAATTCGCAATTGAATTCACTGAATTTTGGGGGACATCTTTCGGATTCGGGTCCGGCTGAGATCGTGATAGTGAGAAGGTCTGATTTGGAATTAAAGGACACTGGTTTGAGCCAAAAAGGTCCAAATTCAGTTAGCATGGAGAATTTGAGCTGGAATCCATTGAATTTTGATACGCAAAGGTTTGGACCGAAGTCTGATGCCATGCATTCAAATTCTAGTGACGTGATGTTTGATTCGAATGGTTCAAATTTGGGCTCTGTTGATCAGAAAGATGATATTGATGAAGATGAGGGGTGGGAATTCAAAACTGCTGAATCTAAGTCGCAGACTGGAGATGGAGACTCTAAGGTAATTATAAACTGCGAGGAAAGTTACTTCTTTTATGTTGCATAGAGCTTCTTTTCTTAACTTGCTAGTGAGTCGAGTGTGTTGGATGATCGTAGACTTTTCAATTAGTCAAGTGAATCTATGGTGTTATCAAGTAGTTGAAATTCTACGCTAAATTGGTCAGTATGGTATTCTACTCTCATGCCCCTTTTTTGTCATACATTTGTATTCAAGCCGGTGGAACAGAAGACGGCTGAAAGTGGACCTGCTGTGGTTTCTAATACATCGAATTTGAGTTGGAACTTTTGGAGTTTACCAACAAATGGGGTAGGCCTAAATGTCGATAGTGGTAAAATCGATGCAGTTAATTCAGTTTCTGATTCGGGATTTGGAGAGGATGGCTCTTGGAATAACGACGGATGGGAATACAAGGTTGCAGAAACTGGAGAACTGAAGAACAGTATAACAAGTAAGGTATGAGCAACCTTTAGTAGAAGAATCGTGTAAGTGCATTTATAAACTCCATTGATTATGCTGGGTCTGAGATTTTCTAGTTTTAAGGTTGAAGGGAATGATAAGAAGGATGTTAAAAGCGCTGAATTGGCCGTTGCATTCGAGAATGGTGTGCATCAGGTCGACGATTTATTTGCCGTGTCTTCTCAACAATCTTCTCAACAATGTGGCGGGTGGGGCTTAGGATTTGATATCAATCCAACTTCAAAAACTGAAGCCACCAGTTTTCCAAATTCTAGCTCTCAAAGTCAGCAGTATGAGAGGAACACTGTTCCGAGTTTCTTTCCCAGCGATTCTGAAGAAACAACCTGGGCATTTAAGCAGTCATCTTCAGAAAATGATATACAGAACGAGGTAATGCATCAACAATCCATGTAATTATCTTTCCAGAATGTGGATATTGAATGATATTTTTCACCTTCCTTTCAGGAAAAGCTAGGTGTTCCTGATGTTCTTCCTGCCAATTTCCAGAATCATTTATCTGATGGTGTGGTACAGGTAATAACATGTTTGACATTCTGTGCAAGGTGTTGAATTAAGGCTGCCCAGATTATGCGGCTATTATGTTAGAATTTTAGTGGTGATCAATGCATCTCTTCATATTGTTTTGAACGAATCTTAAAGTCGCTTTATGACGGACATTTTACTAGAACTTATTTCACCCAGATAGTGGCCTGTTGTCCTACTTTTCTTGCTGAACATTTCTACTTGATCCGTGTGCTTCCTTTAAAACTTCGTTGGAATATGCGTTGCTTAGTATTCGCACTTTGTATTCATATCTGAAGACATGTTTTCTTCATTCTTAAGATCAATGTCATTGTTATGCATATAGTCATCTTGATTTTTCACATCTATGCGCTCAGGAGAAAGAAGTGCAGCCAGAGAAGCCTAATGGACCGTTGGCGCTGTCCCTTTTCGGCGAAGAAGATCTTGAAAGTTCTGATCCTGTATTTCATGGAGCTGTTCCCTCTTCCATACATGATTCCTCCTCGAGGGATAAACCTAAGGCTCCTGGTCCAAGTTTATCAGTCAGTGATCTAATATCAAGTTTATACAATCGAGTGGAGGAGAATACTAAAGGTGCTGAAAACAGCAAGGCTGCCACTGATTTCAATTTGGTAAATGATGAGGATGATTCTTGGGAGTTTCAAGGTTCAATGCAGCCTGTGACAGTTTCTGATTTGAAGGAAGGAGATAACAGTTCCAGGAAATTTGGAGGTGTTTCTGTGGGGAATGAAACCCCGAGTCAAACCTTTGATCATGCTGGTACTAGAGAACAACACAAAAAACAATTCACTAGCATAGAGGTGAACGATTTCCGGGATCTCTTTGATAAACTAAAAACCGAATTGTGCTACGTTGCTCTAAACCATCTGGAGAATATAAAGGTCAGTGGACCTCTTTCAGGACTCTTACCTTCTTCTATTCACATTTTCTTAGTACTCTCCTTTCTGTAAATTTTGCATTCCTCCTTTTAAATCTTGGGAATTGCAGGAAGCTCGAAAATTAGTTGCTGATTCTAGTGAAGGCACTGAAGTAGAAAAATGCGACGAGGAAATTCAGGTTGGTGGGAATGCTACAATATGCATTTTGCTTGTCTTTAGTTACTGGAACAAATCTGAGAGAATCTCATGACAGATTACATAAAACGTTTCTAAGGAAAATGTCATACATGACTGGGAAATGTTGGAAATTTGTTGTTACCTGCTCTTGTAGGATATGCGTAAGAAGCTGCAAGAGGATGTTCTGATCAGTGAAATCGACTTGGAGAGTCTACAACTGAGACCCTCTGACATTAGGGAGTTTGTCAACACTCTTAAGGAGATAAAGTTTCGAGTACTGGATTCAGAATATCGCCTCTCAGAGAGATTGTTACCGGTAAAATCCATTTCAGATTTTCTGTTTAATGTTCCCAATATTTATAAATTATAACTCAATATCTTCAAAGTCCCTTCAAGTTTTTAGGCTTTAACAAAAAATATGAATTCTTTCACAGGCTGAAAACGATTGGAATTCAACAATCGAACTTCTGAAACACTCTACATTGACTCTGAAGATCTTGAACTTGTGCTCATCCGAGCAGCAGTCCAACTATACTTCGACTTGGTCTGCCATTGCTTCTGCCTGTGCTCAAGAACTGAGACACGCTGTTGCTATTTGGAAGCTGGCGCAGGAAAAGAACATTCAAAGAAAAATCCTATCTTCTCCTCAAGGTACTGTCCTTGGAGGATCGCAAATCATGTTTTTTTTTTCATTTTACGGTATTTTCAGGCTTTGACACATTCCGGTTTTCCAGGGAAGAAATATATTCTTGCATTGGGTGAAGTTTACAGGGTAGCAAAAATTCTTGTAGCCTCGACCAGATTATACAAACCATGGATTTTATTAGCTCCAGGGTCAAATATATCAGCTCTTCTGAATGAGTGTGCCAGCTTGTGGTCGAGCTCAGGACTAGAAGATGCTCTGCTAAATATTTCCAAACTCCACAATGACAAATCCGCTGCTCAGCTTCTAGAATCGATCAATCACATGGACAAAGTTGATGCCTTTACACTTCACAACCGCATCTTCTTGGCTAGCAAATCCACTTGCCACATCTCTGGCTTTCCTGCTG